GGGAAAAGAATTCATTTAAGTAGCACAGAAATCTTTGGCTTCAGTTCTGAAACCCAGTAACCCACTTTGTTTGTAATCTACATGGCAGATGTCTCTTATCTTTGACACCATGAAATCATGCCTGTATATGCACAGTGCACAGCTTCACATCTGAGTGTATTTTTAGAACAATGGGCCTTGAAAAGAAAAGCAGCAATGCTTGTCAAAAGATGGATAATGGGAAAGCTAACTACTCAGGTCTGGATTTGTCAACTATTAATCAAGTGCCAAAAGGAAAAATATTAGGAGTGCTCTCATTTCCATGCTGGGTGCAATCCAAGAGGGAAATAGCTTTGTAGCCCAACCTCAAACAAACTGCCCATACCATTTAAGGTATGAGCTTCTCATTTCAAGTCAGATGAACTAATGGATCACCTCTGTGGCTCCTGATCTGTTCAAATATAATAGGCCGTGGGTAAAGAGAGGAGTTGGGCTCTGACAGGGATGGAATGAATGAGCCTGTGCCAGTCTGTGTTTCTCTGGGGTTTGAAGGTACCAGCTGGTTCTTTGATGGGCCGGGATCCTACTGCTAGAGAGAGAGCAGGAAGTCAGACAGTAAATGAACCTTTAAACCCGGTCCTGACTTCTCATGCAAGTGGAGGATGGGGAGAAGTGGTACAATTAACATGAAAAAGACCCTCCTGAGCTGAAAACCCGTTCCGGATTCAGTAAAGACGAAACAGACTTATAAGACTACACCCAAGTTCATATGTGTGTGCAATGTATACACAATACATATTTGGTAAATTTATATGCATCCCACATGTGTGTGCATACATTTATCAGGATATCTTTGGAACACAAACACTATGAGAGCAGAAGTCTCTTCTGTTTTGTTTCCTCTATTTTCAATGCCTAAAAAAGTGCCTGGCACATAGGGACTCCTCAAGCAATCTGCAGAATGGATGAGCACTGAGAAGTCTTCCTGAATGCATGAGAGCAATTCATCTGCCCCAAGACCCCAAAATGAGGGCATTATCACCACCCTCCGTTTATAGGGAAGGACATGAGATGCAAGGAAACTAAGCCATTTGCTCAGGGTCACAGAGAGATAAGATCTAACTTAGGACTGCCCAACTCCAAAACTGGTACCTTCTACTCGTAACAGCTAAACATTGGAAGTGGCCTATCTGTCCATCAACAGATGAATGGATAAGGAAAACGTAGTATTTATATGCAATGGAGTACTACTCTGCCATAAAGGATAAATCTGAGTCATCTATACGAAAATGGATGCACCTTGAGACCACAATGTTAAGTGAAAAAATCAGACACATAAATTTAAATATTGCATAATTTCTTGTATATGAAAAATCCAAAGTGTAAATGAGTTAAAGAGCGAAGGAAAAGACAGACAATAGGAAATAGAAGGTAGATCTTTGGTAAGTGGGAAAAGGATCTTGAAATGGAGGGAGGGGAAAAGAGAGGAAGAAGAATAAAAAGAATTAAAATATGTTATATACATGAACTTATTGCCCACAATGAATATATTATGTACTGCAAACAAGTACTAATTTAAAATAAAAAGACTGGTGCCTTTTGCTCTCACACATAATGGCTAGACAAGAAGTCGAAGACGCAGTGTCCCCCTTCTTCCACATCAAGGACTACAGCAATAAGGCATCTAGATACCTACATGACCAGGAGGTGCACCAGCTGATTGCTACCTGCTGGCACCCTGCATCTTTAGCTGGGGTCTAGAGTTGGTAGCTGGGGGTAGGACTTGGTAGAGACCAAATACTCTAAAAGGTTTGTCTTGGACTTCATCTATTTAAAAATAGATACTGCCTAGGTTTGTTTCCTTTTAGCCCCGTTGGATGATGTAAGACCTCGCTGCAAGGGAGAGAGCCTCAGAGCCTAGTAAGAGATTGGTCCAAGATGTGTGGTTCTAATAGAGTTGAGCTAGGCTGAGTATACGTACTGGCTTGAAGAAAAAATAGAAATTTGGGGTATATGCTCTCATCTCAAATTCCTTTCATCTATGGGAAGGCAAAGCTCCATGGTCAGAAAGGCACAGAACTGTGGAGACACACTACATGCTGGGAGATAACTTGGAGGCTTCTGGGGCCACTTGGGAACTTAAATCGCTAAATTTGCTTCTGCATTGGTCTGAGATGGGGGTATGGCTGATCTGATCTGTTATTTGTAATTCAATGTTTACCATCAGGAACACTATTACAGCTCCTGATATCTTGACCCCTCCTCCTATACCCCAAATATAATTTGTTTTTTATCCATTGAAGTTATTTTGCTAGATGGACTCTGGAGGAGCTGGTTTTTTTCTTTCTTTTTTTTTTTTTTGCGTTGCCAGTTCTAACAGTGACACCTGGTGGTGACAAGCAGAAAGATTATACCCTGCTCCCTCCCATCCCCCGAAGTTGCAAGATTTACGCCCCCTCCTTACAAGGCATATTCACTAGATAAAAGCATTAAACTAGAATGGCATCTCTGTTCTTAGCATTTACAGCCTTGGTTATATCAACCATCCCCTAATCAATTTCCATTTCCAGAGTTTACAGCCTGATGTAAAAGCCTGCCACAAAGGCTATATTTAACATGACAAATTAAAAAAGCAAACACAGTCTTGGTCATTCTTTGGAGCCAGAAAAAGCAAATAGGAGGAAGGAAAAACCCAGGTGTGCTGAAAATAAAGTGAAATTTTCATGGTGTAGCCAAGTTTGTCTCCATTCCAACACGATGAAGGCCTCTGAGGTGGCCCCCACCCCCACCCCTACTCTGCAGGCCATGGTGCTCATCCATCTCCTCTAGAAGCAGGGAGGCGTCACAGCAGGCTCCTGTCCTCACTGGTTTCTTAGCCAGCCTTCTGGCTGACAGAGGAGCAGGGTGAGGAACTTAATACCTGTGAAGGGAGACCAGTCATCTCTAGGCAGCTCTGACTTCCACTGGCTCTGAATACTAAGCTCGGCTTTTTGTAAACCCCAGCCGCATGGCTTGGAGAGGAACAGAAGCAGACAGTTTTAAGAGAGACTTGCCAAGTAGGCAGATAGGCTTTACCTTGCTAAGGGATGTGGGGTATGAAGGGAAGAGAAGAACTAAGGACAAACTGGCTGGACAATGGGGACTCCATCTCAGTCAGGGGACATGGTTTGCTCAACAGTACCGGTGGATGTGACTGCTTCAGTACTAATCAGCCCACCATCACCCTCTCTTTGCGCAGTAATGCAGCTCACAAAGACACCAGGTTTCCTACTGTCGCCAGCTTCTTTTCCCATTTAGACAGCTTATTAATTTCTGAATCAAGATGCCAAATCAGCTCTTGATGAAGGACAACAGTGATTCCCCCCCACCCCCACCCTGGATTCAAAACAGTTTGCAGATGATGTGTGTATAAGCAATCAACCTTGCACTTCCTCCCCTGCCCGCTGCCTGGCAGAGGGAGGTCATCTGACTCAACCCTGACTGGAATGCAGTGGAGCAAACAAAGGCGGCCCTGCAGTCAAGTGGTCTGGGTGCATGTTTCTCCTCCTGAGGCACCTTGAATACCAACTCAAGATTCAGCAAGGTCCAATTCCGAGTTTAATTGCTTTCAGCCGCAAAAAAGAGAATTAGGGATGAAAAGATAATGAATTGTGAATATTAGCTTGTTTGATGGCTCTAAACTTGAAGGATGGGATGCAGTGGTAGTAAAAAAAAGAATGAGACAAGAAATGTGGAAATCAGGTCTTTATAACTCCTAGTTGTAACTGGCTCCTCAGAGTTTTCTTGAAGATAAATTCATCATGTTTGTGGGCTGCACTTTAAATCACAGAACAAGCTTTGGGGCACCACCCAGGGAGAACTATTTTCCCGTAAGCTGGTTCTTTAAGGAATAAGAATGCCTGGGGACAAGAAGCTCCTTGGGATGCATCCTGTGCTCCAGAAACCATGACTGATTCTGGGCCTAAGGGATGTGATGGGAAAGGGACAGAAAGAAAAAAGGCTACTGGGGAAATCAAGAGTAAAAAACTGCAAAGACAATAAATCAATTCAAAAAGATATTCCCATCACTCCCAGGGAGTACAAGGGTTGTAAGAGAGTAAGTCATTCTCCTTCTTCCACAGTGAGAGCAGCCTTTCAGCTCCTGAGGGAATAAGCTGAATCCTACCTCCTACCCCACCATGGCACCTACCTACCCCATCAGGGCCCTGACTCCAGACACCCAGGAAGGAGGAGAGACACTGCTCAGGAGCATGGAGCTGGCAGGCCAGTCCCGGCCTGGCCCAGAGCAGGTGTGTAGGAGAAGCAGCTCCAGAATGAGGAAGGAGAATGGGGGAAAGGTGGCCAGTGTGCAGTTTGGGGATGCCCTCTGTCAGAGTTTCAACTGATGAGAAAAATCACTTAGTACTCCAGCAACTAGAAATAGCTGCTTCTGTTAGAAGCATGGTCAAAGCTCCTGGAAGTCAGAATCATGTAATTTCGGAATCAGCAAAGGACCAGTGAGTGATTGTTACTTTTCTCTGGGTGACAGACTCCTGGTAGGACTGGATGAATGGTATGAACTGTAGAAATAGGCATGTATGTGCCTGCATGAAAACACATCCAATTTTGCATATAATTTTCTATCATCTAAGAGCCTCCGTGGAGTCGAGGTTCGGCAGATCAGTAACCCAGTGCTTTCTCTTTACTGTGGAGGGAGGTGAGGCATGGGACACTAGGGTGTCAGAAACAGGACCCAGAGGTGGCTCACCCTCAAACCAAGAGGGTGCTGAGTCCCCTCATGGTCTTTCTGCTTTTCGCCCCTATAGAATTGTTGTGGACACTGCAGTAGAGGAAAAGGTTACTTATAAAGGGATATGCATCTAGTAAAAGTACTATCTTTAGAGATGGCACAGTTGAAGAAATCACCTTAACCTGGCGAGGAGAGAAAGGAGAGCAGAGATGCCTCAGCTCTGCTTGCCATTAGCAAATCATCTATAATTTAGAACAAACGTAAAGAGATGTGGGTGATCAAGCAGACGTACCTCTTGGCAGCCTCTTGTAATTTCACGGGCTGTTTGGTGCTGAGGTAAATCAAGCAGGCATCAGCCACTTTATTCAGGTCACCCTCACCTGCAGAGAGGAAAAACAAAACAAGCATTGGCCCCCTCATTTGCGATAAGCAGTAACCAACTGCTGTCTGGGGAAACTGGAGCAGCTGGGCAACATTCCCTGAGATCTTTCCTCCATCCTGTGAGTCAGGAAATGCAAGACAGATGGACAAATGGGGCCAAAGTAAGACTGATGGAGATGACATGAAGGGAGGGGATGGGCACAAACATGAGGCAGGGGTGAGACAGGACATAGGGTTTATGTCCAGGAGAAGTGAGTTGTTACCTACCTAAGTCCAGTCTCTCACAGAGGGGGCCTAGACCCTGCAAGACAGCCAGCTGCAACTTGAAGGCCAGGGTGTGTGAGTAAACTGGTCCAGCCCTGGCACTGATGGGAGCCTGGGTAACTAAGGAGCCAGCCAGCTTTGGTAGGACATCTTTGCAGAACCGGTTCCGAAGAAAATCACCACACTTGCCTCCCAGGGTGCACAAAGCCTGCAGAAACAGTCCCCAACTTGTTGGCTAAACATTGCCAGGGCAGTAAGAGGGCTAAAGAATGCTTGGTAATTCAATTCCATCTAGGTTTCTACTTGGAAAAAAAAAAAAAAAACATAAAACAAAACAGAATTACTGCTGTTAATTCCTTGCCCATGGTTGGTGATTCTGACAGTTATGAATTCAGAGGTCTCTGCTCCTAAGGCACAGCTGCTTCTATCCATAAATACAGATTACATGGAGAATAATTCAGAGGAATCTTGGGCTGGATGAATAATATGATTAATACCTTGATTTTCCTCCCTTTTTTCATTAAAAAAAAAAAAAGAGCTTAAAGCAGTTAACATAGATCATCTCTGAAATCTTCCTAACATCCCTCGAGAAAAGACGTGGGCTTTTAAGCCTAGCTTGCTGAGCAAACACAAGTGCTAAGGCTCAGCCATGTGCAGGCATGGGGTGGGGTGGGGGAGTGAGGTGAAGGAGGTGGGGAGGCTGAGGGCCCTGGCTGAACCCAGGCCAGTTCCTGTGGCTGAAGTGGACTCCATGTTCCCTCTGTTCAACCACACAATCTCTTATGTACATCACTCTCATTCTATCTTTCACAACAGGCAGTTTCTTTGCATGTCCCATTTTAAACTTTCTCTAGCAGAACATATTGAAACGTTTTGCCCTGCTGCACAAGACTGAGTATACAGCAGAATAGGAATTTCTTTAAAAATCAGTAAGCAAGGCATAACCAGCACAAGCATTTGCCCACTCTGCAGAGGGGAAGGCACTCGTTTGCGGTCCCTCAGCTGGACTGCACGGGGTTTGTAGACCTCAGGTGCCATCAATGTGCTTGCATGTGGAAAATACAGCTTCAGTTTTGGCACACACATCTGTTTTTCATTTTTCTACACTTGCTGTCATTTCCGATAGCCTATTAATTTTTGTGAAGGAAAACAGCACATCCGAGTAGAATTTAGAAATACCTCCCTCCTTCCTTCTTTCTCTACACACACACACACACACACACACACACACACACACAAGCACACACACACCCACTATTTTATACATTCTGCTTTGAAAAAAAATACTAACAATTTTGTGTTTTGAATGTAAACTGACATTTTGGGCCATTGTATGAAAAGTCTTACAGAAAATCAAACTTCTTTTGCCAAATATATTCATCGTGTTCTCAAATTCATCTTATGTCCCTACACATCTTTCTTCTTTGCCTCAGCTTGCTCACCTACTTCTACTTTATGCCAGCTTGCCATGGTAATGTATCTCTGCAGGATACTGAAAGTGCTTTTTAGAATAAAGAAGGATATAAATAAGCCAAAATACATGTGCTAATATGAGCCAAACTAAGACAGGGAGAGAAACACTTTACATCTCTACAGAGCTTTTAGCTTTCCAAAGCACTTCACCAGAGACCCATTTTATCCTTGACAGCATTGCAAAGAAGGTGGGGAGGTATTCCTAAGCACCACCTGAAAATGGGTGGTCAAGGGCTTTGCCCAGCTGTCTGGCTAGGCAGAGGATGCCAAGGGCTAGAACACAGGCCCCTTCACCTTGACTTTTGGGCAGTGCGATGAACATGAGCATGAACTCACAGATCTGAGTTCTATTACTTACTAGTTGTATGATCTTGAGATACTTTAGCTTCTCTGAGCGTGTTTCCTCCTATACTGAAAATGGACATAATATACTCACCTTGCACAGTTGTGAGATGAGTTTGTGTGTGGGGAAATGCTAAGTTCACTTCCTGGCACACTAGAGATGTTCAATAAATACTGGTAGCCCTTTGCTTTCCTAGTTCACCTTGATTCAAATGCAAGAGGAAAATGACTTTTATTTTCTTCTTTGTGCTTTTCTTAGTTTTCTATACTTTCTTCAAGGTCTGTGACAGTGCAATCAGATAAAGAGAAGCAATGCAAAAGAGACCAGTGAGCTCTGTGCTTATGATGTCTATCCCCATGGTGGATAGTGCGGCATCAATGCAGTACCTTGAAGGCTCTGAGCACTGCCAGGGGGTCATCGTTTGTGAGTCGGTGCACGAGTGAGGGCCAGGCCCGATGAACCAAGGGAAGCAGCTGGTTCTTATATGATTGCAGAACAATCACACATAAACCCAGCACATCTAAGACCTGAAAGAAAAGACATGATTTTAGCAGACAGCAATAATTTGAAACCAGATACCTAGGATCAGGTCACTACTTAAAAAATACGATTGACCAATGCATTAACTGAGTAACTATTTACTCAGTTCTGACTACAGGCCAGGTCAGTACTAGGGTGACACACAGGGATGAAATACACATGCTTTCTTGCCTTTAAGGTGCTCAAGGTAATGGAATAAAGACCTTAATTAGGTAATGTCCAAAAAAAAAAATAAAAAAAGATTACCAATTACAGTAAATCAAGAAGGAAAATAAAAGGTGAAATGCAAAGAAACTAAGGGAAAGAGCTAAAGCATACAGACTGTTAGGATGGTTTTATAAGACATAAAAGACATAGAAGATGAGCAGATGAGCAGTGTGGACTATGACACAGGAGGAGTGAGACAGGGATGGGCCCAGATGGGGTCACGTTGAGAGTCTTTTTGTTTTGTACTAAGTCGGTGGGGAGCCACTCAAGAGAGCAGGGAAGTGACATGATATGATTCATGTTTTAAGAAGGTCTGACACTTGTTGGCTATATTCATAGCAATCCTGCTGACCTTATAATTTGGCCCATGTGTTCTTAACTGTTTCTTTGGCTTTGTCTCCTCCAGACTCAAAGCTATACAGCTACCAAGATGACAATGCCTGGCACCCATTGAAGAAGGCCTTTAGATAGACCCTCTGTAGAGTAACTTTAACTGCTGATCACAAGTACAACTCTCTTCAGCAGGAAGTAGCCAGACCTGTCTTTGCCCTTTGCCCCCTCATAGCAGTTAGGGGTGCTTCTTCAGAGGGGGTAATATTATAGATAGGTAATTTAATTAGATGTCTTGTTGGCAGGTCGACAGGGCCTCCCTTAAGGTGTCAGCCCAGGAGGAGCCAACATGGAGGACAGTGAAGACACAGTCACTGAAGGCCAAAATTGTAAAAAAAGAGAAACTATCACACTCACGTAGGATGAATAGCAGTAACTGATATTCTAAATAGGTATCAATCACCTGGGTGGGGGACCATGGTCTTAACCCAGCCTTTCCAGGAAATATCCCTGACTCCCACCCACCTTTACTGAAAATCCTTGTAGGCTTGCTACGTGACTTGCTCCCCCATTTAATCAATATTACCTCGGTGACTGTACTTGTAATCTTATTGGTTGGTCATGGTTTTGCCCCACCTCATGCCCACCTTGTAAATTTCCATTGGGTTTTATAGTTTTGTCCCACTTTGTACCCACCTCATCACATAGCTTTGCTGTATAAAACATCTTTGAAAAGTGGGATGGGCAGGCAACCCACTTTCCAGTCCCCCTTCTGTCTCTCTTAGGCAGCTTTCTTTCTCCAAATAAATTTTTCCTACTCTTAAAAAAAAAAAAAGATCTTTCTGGTTGCTGAGTGAAGAAGAGACTTAAAGGGGCAGAGGGAAGAGAGGTGGCTCTCTAGGCCACAACACATGTCTCCATGAGAGGAGCAAAGTGATATGGCTATATGATGGTAGGAGAGACAGAGAAATGAAAGGACTTGAGATCTGTTTTAGAGATGAAATGACTTAAATTGTAGCATGACTGGATATTGGGGAGGGAATGAGGTGTCAGGTGAAGCTGCTTGGGTTCAGGCATAGCAAATGAAAGGGAGTGGTGTCACTGAATGAGGCGAGAGTGATGGAGGAGTTAAAAGCAGAAAGGCTGGGTGGGATTCAAGTCCTGTGACTGCTACCTGGAGAAGCCAAGCAGGCAGCTGAGGTACAGGCCAACCTCACAAGAAAGTTTTGGGCTGGCCTACATGTAAACTGATTTTTTACATTCCTTTAGAATTTGTTTCCAGGTATCTTACATCCCAAGGTGTACTGAACACATCTATATCGTAGGTAGTGGTGAGTATGACTACTGATGCAGGTTTCATAAGGACGACCCAGCCTTCACAGGGCACGTGAGGTACACACTGGAGTCAGAAAGGAAGCGTGAAGTTCGCCAACATTAAGCTTTACTGGGAACCTTCTATGCACTGGTCCACACAGACAGGAAGAGAAATGCCAAACTGAAGAGGCCCCGTCCTTGGGAGGTGGCTCACAAGGCAAGGGAATAAAATAAAGTTCAGCAGTGCTGTGGACAGCAGGGCAGTATACTGAAAGTGGCTTTGAATTTGAATTTTGTCATTAACTGGACAAGTTACACTAGTTGTTGCTGACTCAAAGGTGCACATTTTTCCCCTCTGCTTGTTCTTCTCCCTGTGTCCCTTTGCATGGCTGGCTCCTCAACCGGTAGAAATGTTACCACCTCAGAAAGTCTTCCGAGATGACCTAGTCTAAATCAAATGTAAGCTCTGTCTTGCTCAACATGACTTGCTAAAGAGTACAAAGAGTAACTGAAATTTTAAAACATCATAATAAAAGATGCCATGAACCCCCCTCCAAATATCCTCCTCTCTCCAAACACACTTGTCTCATCACTTTTTGCCATTTTCTGAAGTGATTCTAGAAGTCCTCTTTTGTGAGTGTCTTTACAAGATGTGATAAAAAAATACAGTGCCATCCAATGGTAAGGTAGGCTGAAAAAAATATTATAATGTGTCCTCATCCACTTTACTTACAGATCTGGTACCATGAGACTTCTGGCTCTTCCTCAAGGTCAAAATGACCTTGAAAGGTCAATGTTTTGAATTAACTCAGGGCACGGAGGCAGCCGCAATGGCATAACTAAAGACACAAAAAACTTCTAGAGGTGATTCAGAAAGTGGCAAAAATGATGGGGTAAGTATGTCCAAAGCAAGGCTGAGTATTTTGAGGGGGATTAATGGCAATATATCTTTTATTGTAACAGTTTAAAAAATTTAAAAACATACTGTATTTTCTTTATTTTTGAGACAGTTTCATTGTGTAGTTCAAGCTGGCTTTGAACTCAAGGTAGTCCTCCTGCCTCAGCCTCCTGAGTGCTGGGATTATAGCCATGTGCCATCATGCCCAGCTCACACACGTTTTTGATCAATCCCTGCACATAAATGAATTACTATTTTCTATCATAGTACCTGCTTATTACCTTAATAGTATTTACTTCACCTGGATGTGTGTGTGGTTTTTTTTGTTGTTTTGTTTTGTTTTCGGTACCGGGGATCGAACTTGGGACCTTGTGCTTGCGAGGCAGGCGCCTGAACCACTGAGCTAAATCTCCGGCCCTGTGTGTTTTTGAGTTGCCTCTCTTCCCAAACAGACATGAAGTTCCATGAAGACATGGATCATGCCTGCAGCATTCCCTTCTATATGCTCTGTTTGCCCTTCAGAAGTCTTCAATAGCATTTCGTGAGAGAATGAAGGAGAGTATATGCCATAACTTGTGCTGTTTTCTCTTTGTAACAAACAACCTGTGAGGCAGGTATCCTCATCTCCACGTTACATGTAAAGATGCTAAGGCTCAACTTGGTGAACTAATTTTATGGTCACCTGGCTAGTAAGGGGCAGAACAAAGAATTTATTTATTTATTTATTTTGAGTTAGGGTCTTGTTCTGAACTCAGTGTAGTCCAGGCTGGCCTTGAACTCATGGTGATTCTCCTGCCTCAGCTTCCCGAGTGCTGGGATTACAGATGTACACTACCACACCCGGCTCAAAGATTTGATATTTAGTTATGTAGGGCCTGACTCCACTACTGATTCTCTTAATGACTACCGTGTTTATAAAGCTGCTACAAAACCCCTGTAACAGGGAAGATCTTAAAAGACATTTAGGAGTTTGCCAAATATATCAACCAGGCACCTGCATTAAATCCTTGCGTTTAACAAGCACTCAGAAAGTGCTTGCTGGGTGAACAGATATCTCAGGAAGACTAAACAAACTCCACAGTACGGACCCTAAGATCTGAGATAATCTATGGATTAGTGTTTCCTACCATGGCCCCCTATCCTTCAGCAAGGCAATATGCTCCCAGGGCCACCAATGAGCAACTAAGGTGGTCATTTCTCCTTCCTGATTGGAATGGAGAGGAAGGCATTTTCCTTTGGGCAGAAGGTCTCTGAAGCATTTCCAAAAAACCTGGCCCCTGCTACCTCTCCACCGCGCTGTTGTGTTGAGTCAGTGCTGTGTATTTTAAGTCCTTGCTGATGGGGTGCTTGCTTGGCAAACCGCCTGCAAATGAGAATGTGATATGAAAAGTGTTGGAGTTTTTCCTAGGACAAAAATAGAAACAGAGACAAAGATTAAGGGTCAGACTTGGAAGAATGACCACCTCCAAGAATTGAAACTTGCATTCTGCATTGTCAGCTCAAATAATGACATTCTTTCAAAGCACATAATTTTCTTTCCCTTGGAAAGTCAACGAATCTCAAAAACTTTGTGGTTTTTAATAAGGATCAGCTCCCTTCTGGCATTTGAGTTGGTAAAGGAAGACATGAAAGTGTCATCCCACAGATAAATTCCTCTTTATGCCTTCTCATGGCCACCACACATGGCCCAGGGGATATGGGAAGGTGCATGCTCATTCATGCAGCCACTGCCAACTAGGCCACTTTCAGTCTTGCCTCTCTGTAAATGCAAAGAAGGGAACGCACACTGACCTTCAAGCGGATCTTCAGATTTTTATCTGACAACAAGTGAATGCAGCGCTCCATCACGTCCTTGGCTATCTGGATATGCACTGGAAGTGGTGGTTCCACATCTGGAAGAGTGTCATTCTCCTCCAACGTTGGAGGGACTGACAGCTTCTCTGCAAGAAGAGCATAGTAACAGTGTTTTGTAAGAGGTGCTCCTACCCAGCTTGATCCTCAGCTTCAGATTTAGGGCAGGACTGCAAGGAAAATGTCTAGGGAAGGATCTTCAGGAAATCCTCTGAAATTTGGGCCAAGGTGTAGAAGTCAAGATGTTTATGGCATCATTAATTGTACCAGCTACAAATTGGGAAGAACCCTTATCCATGGTTTTAATGTGTCTTCTCCAAAATTCTAGTGTTGAAACCTAACAGCCAATGTGACAGTAGTAGGAGGTGGGGCACGTAAGTGGTTACTGGGCTACAGGCTCCACCTCTTGTGAATAGGATCAGGGCCTTTATAAAACAGGCTTCATGTAGCTCACTTACTCTTCTGCCTTCTACCACTGAGGACACAGTGCTCCTTCCTAGGGAGGACACAGTGACAAGGTACCATCTTGGAAGCAGAGAACAACCCTTACCAGATAAGTGAACCTGCCAGCACCTTGATCTTGAACTGTGAGAAAATAAATTTGTGTTCTTCATAAATTATCCAGTCTTAACTACTTTGTTCTAGCACCACAAATGGACTAAAATACCCTGTATGTCCACTCAAGGGAAAATGGGTATATAAATCATGGTATATCCATACAATGGTATGTTACAAGGTTCCTAAATTTATGCTTAGTAAAAGTTTTAATGACAAGATAAAATGCTTATGAAATAATATAGTGTTCCAAAGAAAAAATATGGTACAAAATTGTATACAAGCATGAACATTATATAAATTTTTGCATAGGAGGAAGTACAAGAAAATATGAACATTGACAGGATTATAACAGATGATTTAAAATTTTTTCCTATACTTTTGGTCTTTTCTAAATTTCAATTAATGAATATTTAAAATAGAAACATACAAAGGGCAGAGTTCTAATTTGGAACCCTGAGGCTGGGCATGTCCCCAGCTGGCCTTTTCTCTGCCTTCTGCTCTTTTCTTCTAGTTCTTCCTTTGATATATATCTTCTCTGCCAGCCTTTAAGATCTTTTAGTGGCCAGCATTAAGACTCTCATCTTTGTACGAGAGAGGAGACCAGGGCCGGCTAGTGTAGTACATAGTGAATAAGGTTCAGTCAGAGATCAGTACAAGCCTGGTCTCCACAACCTATTAGCAACTTTCACATTACCTCACCTGATATATATCTCAAACAGATATATATCTCATCTGTTTGTGGAGAGGACTGCCAGCTATTACCATTCTCTCACTACCTAGAGTACTGTGTTGCATGAGATAGGTTTAAGCTTGCAATTTAAGATGAGAACTGTATGAAACCCAGGCCAAAATCTCTAGCCTGAAAATTTTTCCTCTGCTTACATACCCCATCCTTGTCCCTAAACCCTTAATTACTAGCTATGCTCATTTCCACTGAGCTGTGTTGCTCCCTTAAGTTTTTCTCATTTTAGTTTCCTTTGCTGGAAAAATAGACTATTACAATAGAGGCTCTACCTGTCTCTAACAGGTGCTGAGAAGATAAATGAAAATGCATTTGCAGAATGCTTGGATTTCTTGGAGAAAGAGATCTTGGATATAGAAGGTATAGTACATTTATGTGGTTGAAACAAAACACTCATGTCAAACCAATATCAAGCCAAACATCCTTTATAATGCCAAAGTACATGGTATGTATTTGATGAACGATAATTGTGTGTATGATAGGCCTATGTTTTTTTTCCCCAGAGAAATATTTGTCATTTGAAATTTACCTATTGCAGAATGTTATTTGAGAGATGTGGACTTTGTTTTTGGAAGAGGGTTTGATTCACTGAGTCTGCTTAGCTACAAAATGCACTAGAACCAGATGATCCTAATCTTTTTTTTTTTTTTTAAAGAAGATTCTAATCTTAAAGAAATGGACAGTGTCTGAATTTTAAACCAGAAAGGCAAATCTGGATTATGAAGGTTCAAGATGCTTTCCCTTCTTCAGGGCCTCCCAGGTTTGGGTGAGGAGCACATTTGGTTGTGTCAAGAAACAAACCTAAGAAGAAAAACCCCAACAGATTTCTAAACAAGAAAATTCTGTCTGTGGGGATGGCAATGACTCAACTCTGCATCAATCATTATTTAGACCTTGTGATGTTTCACTGCTATTTAGAAAGAATTTACTGTAGTTAATGCAACGAGCCATTATTTCCCATTATCCTAGAAGTACTGGCTTCAGTTCACTAGAATCTCAGAATCCAGATTGGGGTTGGAGGGAAGGAAAAAAAAAAAAGAAAGAAAGAAATCTGCTCAATTCCAACCTAACAAACTAATTTGGGACTCAGTTCGATTTAGGATAGTTCTGGGACCACCAAGCTCATTATGACTTGGCATTTTATATTTGCAGAGGAGATTCTAATAATTTATTAATCTTTCTTTGACCTGAAGCTCCAGATTGAGTTTGTGAATAAAACAAGAGACCAGAGCTGCTACTAGCCTGAACTCTCTTTTCCTTTATCATATAAATAGGTAAGAAAAAACACTGGAATCTCTTCTTAGCAATAAATAAACAGGCAAAGCATATGAACAGATAAGGGGGCTAAGGGGGGGGATGTTAGAAAAGAAGCATGTAGAAATGGGTTCACTTTGCCAGTAATCAAAGAAATGCAAAGTAAAATAACAATCATTGTTTTAAACTTATAAATTAGGAAAAGTAAAATTGGTAATAGTCAATGTTGGCGAGGAAGTGGTGAAACCAGTATTAATACTGTTCTGCTGAAGGAAAGGTATAAATCAGTATCACCTTATTGGAAGGCAATTTGGCAAGCATTAAATAATGTTCATACCCTTCATCCACATATCTCACTTTTGGAAATTTATAAAGAAATATGCCAGAAGTAGGAAAAGCTCACATGTATAGAACCAACCATTGTAGCACTGTTCACTACAGTGAAAGCTAGAAGCAAAAAACACTTCCTAAGGAGGAGTACTTAGTAACAGCTATTGAAACATTAATTATGAAATCTCTACAGCAAGATGGAGCATTGCTTAAAACTAGACACAAGAAGGGAATGATGCTATGGCCATGACTGCAGGGGGCTGGGGGTGTAGCTCCATGGCAAAGAGCTTGCCTAGCATGTATGAAGCCCTAGTTCCATCCCTAGCACCACACATCAAAACAAAACAAAAACTATGACTGTGACCATGTAAAAATAGGTTTATACCCCGAAAAACGGAAAAATATTGCATAAAAAATGAGAATTGACAGGCCAGGGATTTAGCTCAGTGGTTCTGCCACCTGCCTTGCAAGCGCAAGGTCCTGAGTTAGATCCTCGGTACCAAAAGAAAAAAAAAAAAAGAGAATTGTGAGATTGTGACTTTCTGAAATTTCCAAACTTTCTGGAATGATGCTTCACTGTTTTTACAATCATCTATTTTTAAAAAGAAAGAAATGACTAAGACAAAATAAGTAATAATTACCTTCATCACTGTCAAAATCCAAGACATTTCCGTCTGCCACATCCTTCTCTTTGAGGTAGTCTAGCACAAACTGTTCAATGTCTTCAGCTGTAGTGTTATTCTTAAGAGTTTGGTGCAAATAACTTCCCTCCTCCTTTAAACTTTGATCTTGGGGTTGCCCGATGTAACTTGTTTCTGGGAACCACTGGGCTGTAGATAAGATGTTATAATGATCACCTTGGTCACTAGTAACCGGCATTAGCATTTTAAGTAGAATTAGCTCTTTGCCATGTCCTGTGAGGCCTCCATGCCATCTAGTGCCTGCCTGCCTCTTCAAGCTCATCTTCTACCACTTCAGTTGACCTATTATTTACTATCTTTTAGCTCCTCCAATGCACCAAGAATTTTCCTGCCTCAGAACCTTTACATGTGCTATACTTGCTGTCCGAAGTATTTCCCCTCTTAATTTTTTCTTCTAGTACTGGGGATCGAACTCGGGACCTTGTGCTTGCTAGGCAGGTGGCTGAACCACTGAACTAAATCCCCGCGCCCCCCCCCCTTAATTTTTATAACTAGCTAATTCCAAGTCACTTTTCATGTCTCAGTAAAATTAGAACTTGCCCAGTAAGCCATCCTTTCACCCCTCAATCTAACTTGGGTCACTTATGCAAGGTCTTACTATGTAGCATTATGTTCATTCCTTTCCTATCAACTCATTACAATTTATAACTGTGTATACTGTTTGGTATCTTAATCTCCCATTAGACTCTTTTTTTTTTTTTTTTGGTACTGGGGATCGAACTCGGGTCCTTGCGCTTGCGGAATCTCCCATTAGACTCTCTACTCCAATATACTTGGCAGAGCATGGGTGCTCAAAATACATGCTGAATGAAAAAACACAAGATTGAAGAACAGGTACAGTGACAAATTCTGAGTACAGGATATCTATTCATTAGCAGATGACAGACTACAGAACTTTAAGAATGAACACTGACAGTGTATTTCTAACATAAAATGCTTCAGAAGGCTGGCCATTTTCTCCCCAAAGCTTTCCCTTTGGTGATGCTCCAGTACCTCTGATATGTCATCACAGAATAAACCTTCAACACTACAGACTCACATGTTTTTCACATTGTGCCTTGAGGGGCCCTAGGGCTCTGCAGAGATGTCCCAGGGATCTCCACAGGGAGAATAGCAAGAGGCAGCAGGCTAAGGGGAATGGGGTGTCCCAGAGTCTCTTATTCCTTAACAGAGCAGTTCTTTTTTTTTTTTTTGATACCGGGGATCAAACTCAGGTTCTTGTTCTTGCGCGGCAGGCGGCAAAACCACTGAGCTAAATCCCTAGCCCTAACAGAGCAGTTCTAATTCAACTGTTTCTTGTATCCTGGGGTCCCCTAAAAGCTTCATTTCAAGAAAGGCTCTTAATACTTAAATTGTTGCTCTGGTCCAGCACCCTCTCTTTGTAGATTGCAGAGAAAAAAACTCTGATGATCTTTACCACCTGCTCATCTCCTTTTCATAAAGGAGGTCTGCACAGAGCCAGAGTAACAGCAGATGCAAAACGATGGGGCCAGACAAATGGGAGAAGCTAAGAGCAAATGCTTGAGATGAGAGCCTTCAATCCAGTATCTGGAGGTTTCTGTATATAAGGATCAATTATGACATTTCTTCAATGCACCATCTCCAGGTGTAAATCAGGTACTTAGTGCACTCTAAAGGACTGGTTCCCAAACAGTTAAAGGCTGGACCCAGAATTCACGTGGCTAGGATTAGATATTGTACAAAGATTATTTCTAGATTCAAGGCTAGTGCCAGACATTAAAATGTCTTTGTTCACAAATAGCTTTTGAACATAAGAAGCTCAATCTCACTCTTAATGCAAATTAAAACTATAATAAGGTGCTGTTTTTCTCCTATCGGATTAGCAAAGATCAAAAGCTTGGTAATGTACAGTATGGGTAAAGGCATGGCAAAATTGGCACTCTTTTACATTGGCGATGGAATTTAAATTGGTATAATCTCTTAGGAGCAATTTGATCCTCTCAATCAAAAATTAAAATGTAATACCCTTTTATTTTTTTTGGTACCCGGGATCAAACTCTGGACCCTGCACTTGTGAGGCAGGGGGCGGAACCACTGAGCTAAATCCCCAGTCTCAAAATGTAATACCCTTTTAAACCAGCATGTCTTTCAGGAATTTATCCTACTGATATACAGAGATGTGTTCAAAATGCCCTGCAAGGATATTCACTGATGTGTATTTGTGTGTGTGTGTGTGTGTGTGTGGTGGTAAAAGATTAGAAACCACCAAAACACCTACCAAGACAGGACTGGTTAAACAAACTATGGTGCAGCCACAATGGGATATGATGCAGCCATAAAAATGCAGCAGCCTTCTATGTCTGTACCACATCCTCAGCCCTACCTATCTTTCTATTATATCTGTTTATCTATCCATCCATCCATTCTTGAGCCTGGATCTAAGTTGCCCAGGGTGGCCTCAAACTTGCAATCCTCTTGCTTCAGCCTCCTGAATAGCTGAGATTATAGGCAGAAGTGCCTGGTTACCTGATGGTTCTTGCTTTCTTAGTTGATGCATGTGAAACAGTGTGTATTGGATAACTTAATTTCCTAAAACACGTATTGGGCTTTAAGACCTCTCAGTTCTCTGAGAGCACTCTTCCACTTTTACTTTATTTTTATTTATATTTTTGAGACAAGGTCTCACTATGTAGTTCAGGCTGGCCTTAAACTCACTATGCAGTCCAGGCTGCCTTTGAACTTGTATCTATATTCCTGCCTCAGTCTCCCAAGTGCTGGGATTACAGGCATGCACCACTGTGCCTGGCTCGCTTCCATTTTAAAAGAGAGGTAATCAGTTGGACAACCAATCAGTCAGACAACAAACAGAAATGCCAGCATAAAGTGCTATTTTCATTCATGAATAACTATCAATTCTACTATTTACTATTTATTCAAAATGCAATGTATTCTGGGTTATTTCAAAACTTGCAGAAAAGCTATTTCCAACTTTGCTTGTTTTCCTAGGCTGTTCCAGAGTCAATGTTAACCATCCTCAGTTTCCTTTCTGCAAGCCCCTCTTTCCTCAATTAAAACACAGGATTGCACCACTTTCCTTCAGAGATGACCAAAGACACCAGTAATAAGGCAATTCAATTTTTAAGACTTACATTGAGATGTCTCCCAAGAGGATGTATTTCATAGGCCTTTCTGAATTTGTTTAAATCTCAAATTGAAATGTAGTGTAGTTCCTTAAAGCAGTAAAGGCAGGTCTGTTTGGCCCATGAAAGCCAGTCCTTGCCTGCAATGCCTAAGTGGCCAGCCCGTCTGAGGAGGGGCTCCATGAGGGTAGGCCCTGGTGGGTCTTCTTCACAGCTGCCTCCCCACTACCTATTAGCCATGGTACAGGCTTGTGAGTGACTGCCAAGTTTAGTCCAACCTCCTTCCCTTGGCCTGTATGGCCCTGCAAGATTTGCCTCCTTTCCAATTTCATCTTGCACCATTCTCTCTCCATAACGATCTCTTTTCCATTCTCCAAATACCCCCAGTCCCTTCTTTCCTCAGGGCCCTCCCACCTGCGGCTCCCTTTGCCTGAATGTTTTTACAAATCATAAAAACAATGTGACATACAGGGGACTTTCTTATCCTTCAGGGCTTGGTCTCAGTGTCACTTCATCAGAGGCCCTCCTTGACCACTCAATTTAAAGTGGCTATCCTTGTTATTCCTGTGCATCAAGGTGCTTATTTCCTTCCCAGTGCTTATCAGAGTCTGAAGTGAGCTTGTTTAATCATTTGTTTACTTGTTTATCATCTCTCTTGCAGTAGGAGGAAAACTCCCTAAGTTTATTCACCTTGTTCACTGCTGCACCTTGTTACTTAGCATATATCAGTGTCTGATATATGGCTGATATGTCTGAGATATGTCTTTATTGAATGACTAAGAGAACATTTGTGCTGTATATAAATGCTTAGGAGTGAATGAAAGAACGTTGGAGATAGCATTAGCTACAGTGCAGAGCACAGTCCCTGCCCCAGACACCTTCCCTGAGAAACTCTTTTACATGTTCTTGGCCTTTTCACCTGATAAAATGAAGTCAACAACATTTCTACCAGCCTCAGAGGATATTAGCAGTACTGAAATAAATACTGCAGATAAGCTTTTTGGGTAAAAGGCACCCAGGTATTCTTTTTTCAATCAAAGATTGTCCAGTTGAGGGTTTCTTTTGCTTATAGAAAATGTTGCCATTCTGATGGTGGCTAATATTTCCATTAGGCACTTAAGATCAAATGGAAGATGAGAAATGCAAACCATGACTCACACAACTAAAGGGTTAAAAAGAACTTTTCAGATCTGCTCTGTCCAGTACAATACATGTGGCTACTAAAATTAAACAAAATTGAAAATTCAATTGCCCAGTAGTACTAGCCACATGTAGCTAGCAGCTATTGTATTGAACTGAACAGATATAGAGTACTGCCATCATCACAGAAAGTTCTGTTGGATATACTCTTCCAACCATCTGTGGAATGAATAATTCATGCTATTTCTGTTCTCCATTAGCATAGATACTGCTACCTCTAAATATCAGCAGCAGCAGTTTGGTATATTGGAAAGAATAAAATTGTCATAAATCCTGACTTTATCCCTTATTGTATGACTCTGGCTAAGCAGGATCTCACTGGGCCTTAGTTTTTCTTATTTGTAAAATAAAATCAATGTTGATATTTAACCAACAAGGTTTATATCCCTGGCACAGAGCAAGTGCTCAATAAATGGTAGATTATTGAAAAAATTATAAAAAAATAAACAATGGAACCATACCATAACGTGGGACTGGAGAGAAAACATTTCAAATATTCTCCACAGCATAATCACAATGCTAAAGAAAAAACAAGACTAGGCAAACTAGGATATTAAGTACTATCCCCCAAATCAACATTAATGTACCTAATGCTACCAGCAGGGCATGCAGAATGCTGACAAAGGAAGCAGTTCTCTTATCGTAAAATTGGTCCAGGGTGGCCAAGACATCTTGAACCACATCTGCCACCAAAGGAAGCAGGGTAGCATCTGAGTTCCGAAGCATGACTTCCAAAACCTTTGCGGTATGAGGGTGCAGAGACAGATGGCGGAGATTTAAGGAGATGCCATTCACTAAATAGTCTGAATTTTCATTGATTAGGTCCTGCAAGGAGTCATAGTTACAAGCAACACAAATATCTACCATGGTGCAGGTAGCCACCTGACTAATAAGCAGGGTTTGGTCTCCAGCCTTCTCTAGTACTGGATAGAGGGCTGACATCAAGAGCAAATGAAAGTCTTTTCCTAGTGCATATGCAAACTGGTTAATCCCTTCCAACTGGATGTATATTTGCCAGATGTTGCTGTTCATGGAGCAAATAGTGGGACTTGGCTTTGAGAAGGCTGGAAAAGATATAATTTGGCAGGTGTGCACACGAGACGTGATTGCCTGGAGGTCTGACTGTTTCATCATTAGCTCCTCTCCCTCCTCAGTTTCAATACAGGTAACCAAATACCAGTTTTCTTGGCTAGTGTATAGTTCAAGTAAAGATGTCACAATCTCTCTCAGTTCCTCTGGGCTTGTTTTAGTATGCTTTTCTTGAAGATCCTCTACTTCCAATCCAGCAGCCCCTGTAACCAGTTCATTAAGGATCATGGTGGCTTGCTTCCGGTAAACCACAGACTCATGGTACAGTTCCATAAAGTGATCCACAAGCAAATAAAGGTTCCCATAATAACCAAGAAGCCTACAAACTTGTCGCAAAAGCAGAAAAACTCTCTCATCTGTGAAGAAGCGGAAATATCTTCTCTGGACTTGGTTTCCTTGCCATGTAGTGGGGGTCTTTGGAGAAGCACTCAGGTCATCAGAGTTCCAACTCCGCTCTTCAACAATTTTTACATCAGCAACATCTAGTTCTAGAACTTGGATGAGTGCTTTGGAAAGTCGCTGGAGATGGGCTACAGAGTTGAGGACAAAGTTTATTTTGGGGCCCAAGAGTTTCAGATAACCAAGTAGCAAGGAGAGAGTAGAGAATTTGCCCTGATCATCTTGGGAGTTCATTAGGCGGGGAAGAGATGTGGTAAGGGAATGCAGGCTTTCTGACAAGATGTCTGTAAAGGCTCTGTTGCCCACCACTACTTTTTGATCTGCAAATTGTCTCAGAACATTATTGCACTGGGCTTGGACTTCAGAACTCTCATCATTTATGAGGCCCACTAAAGCCTTCAGGAGGGGACCAGCAGAATCGACCAGTGACTGACTGCACTTCAAAAGAAGGGCCTCCACAAGGTCTACCAGCTCTAGCCTTACCTTCCAGTGTGGGTGAACTGAAACACACTCAATTATCTTTTTAATAAGGATCACCAACTTGTCACTAGTATTTTTTACCCAATCTCCTTCTCTATGAACCATTAGCTCTGCAATTCTATGCTCAACTACAGGCTCTGCTTGGGCCTTTGAGAGTCTTCTGAGCTGTTCATCAGCCATAACAAAGCCCACTGTCTTGTGAAAGATCTTTAGGGAACATACCACAATGCTGTGACCTTGTTTAAAGTCTCCTGTGATAACCCTGGTCAGTGCAGTTGAGATTCCAGGTAAAAAAGAAGCAAACAAATCCCCCAGATGCTGTTGCTCAAGCTCATCCAAAGACCTAGGATGGTCCTGACAATCGCACTGAAAGAGCAGAACCTGTAAACATTTTAAGGCAGCAATTTTAATTTGCTTTGACTTCTCCTGTTCTGCCAAGCCTAACAGTAAAGATACAGCAAATCCTAAACGAGGCAGAATGGAGGGCTTGTAAAAGGCCAGAATGATGTCACCATAAGCTGAGTGCATTAAGGTGTTAAGTCCCTGGATTACAGCCAATTTCAATTCCTCTGACACAGCAGCAGGTTTCTGGGAGTTGGGAGAATACAAACATGTAGAAAGCTCTGAAAAGAGTTCCTGAAGAAGCTCTTGCTCTTTCACACATGTTGAAGAGAGGACAAATGTGAGGCATTCCACCACACTCTGGACCAAGCGCTCTCGTTTGGGACCTGGGGTCTTCAAGGTAAATCGTAAGGGGAAGAGGATGTACTGCTGAAGTTCCTGAAGGGCAGTGTCACTCACAGCTTGTAATTGTGCCTGCAGATGTTCCACATTCTCCACTGTCTGGGTCTTTGTGAGCTGAACACAGACTGGACGTAGGATGCCAAAAGCCTCTTGAGGAGTATCAAACACTGCCATTGTGCAATAGCCTTCCTCTCACTGAGGAAACATCCTGCAGGCTGAAGGAAGAAATTTTTCAGTAAAGATGGTCAAGCTCAAAGCAACACAAAGTGAACTTGCATTCACTGATTCAACAGATATTCATGGGGGCCATGTACCACCCACGGCCCAATGACTTGGAGAGTAAAGAGACTAAAGAGATGGTTCCTATTCTTTAGGACCTCCAGTCTAGGGAGGGAAGTGAATGTAGTTACAAAATGGCCTCCTAATGATTAGGACAAGCCTAAGCTTAGAGGTCCTAAGTGAGTATGGAAGAGCTGTATCCCTGGGAGAGCCAGGATGGGTTTCACAAGAAAATGCTTGCACCTTAATTTGGGGGAGGAATGAACGGGAATCTATGGGCTATTCTAAGGAATCTGGAACCTGTGGTAGTAAGAAAAAGCCACTGAAAATTTCATCTTTTAAAACTGAGGTATACATTGTGTAAAATGTAGTCTTAATGTACAGCTCAGTGAATTTTTATGTATGACTAGATCCATGTATGCTACACAAAGCAAGACAGAGAATATTTCTAGCACCTGAGAAGGCTTCTTCAAGCCCTACTGTACTCAATTCCCATTCCCTCCAGAATTCTGACTTGTATCACTAGAGATCTTTTTGCCTGTTACTGTCATTGAGATATTTTAAGCTATGGAGGAGGAGGATACAATCAATTTTATGCACTGAAAAGATGCCCTGGTAGTCAGAAGGATGGAGGAAGGATCACAGCTGGGAAAGACTGAAAGCAAGCATTTAGAGAAATGGAAAAACACACTATCACAGAATTCATGGGAGAAGAGGATACATCAGGATACAAAGATGGAGGCAAGTAGGTGAAGGAGATGGGTTTATAGGTAAGTAAGGAAGATGAACAACCTAATACTTGAGTCTTTTCTCTGTGAGAAATTCAGTCATGATGGGGTGAACACGATGGAGTATAAACACAAGGCTTGAAGAGAGAAATAAAAGTCTCAAATATTCCCTTTGGGGAACCAGGGCATGCTGGGAAGACATAAAAGTATGGCCCAAGGTTACTGAGGATTGAGCTGAAGCTAGAGACCATAAATGTGTACAACTGTAAAATGCTGGCATTGGATGGAGACTTTGACATCAACTAGTTTGGTGATCATGTTCTCTTTTTTTTCTCAGCTTGCTGGGAGTTTCTAAAAAGACGATGACAATGAAGCAATCTGACTGCCTCTACTCACGATTCAACAAGCACTCCTGATCCCAGTGGCTATGACTTCTAGGCCAGTGGTGTCTGGTGGGTGTGAGCCAAGACCTGATCAGTCCAGAGAGCTGGTGCTGCATTTCCCGCTTTGGTCAAGGGAGGGCTCCACGGTACAATTAGGACTCTGACATCCTTGAGTGAATCCAGCCTATTGAGCTCCAAAGGAGCTGGTGAGGAAGGGCACTGCTGGCCTCCATGAGGTTTCTTGGGGAGAAATCTCCTGGTCTCTGTGGTTCCAAGAAGCCAGGGGAGGGAAAATACTCATTCCTAGCCTCACTGGGCTAGGAAAATGCCTGCCACAGATGCCACAAAGCCTGGCCCAGGACTAATGACCAGCTCACACACTGGTCCCAGGGGCTGCTTGCCATCCCCTGCCTGAGGGACTGGTGGTTGGATTAAAGAGTAGGAATGGAAGGTAACTGCTTAATGGGATCCTGAAGTCAGAGGGAGGAAAACCATTTCAGAATTCCTTGAGGTGGTAAATCTTAAGATTAATAGGACTTCTAAAAAAGGAGACAAGAATTTGAATGAAAATAAGAAGACCAATTAAAGAAGTTCAATTACAGGACAAAGATATTTCCTAGAACTAAAAACACGATTTTCAGGTCCGGCGTGGTAACACACACCCGTAACCCCAGCACTTGGGAGGCTGAGGCAGGAGTATTGCTGTGGCCTTGAGGCCAGCCAGCCTGGGCTACCTAGTGAGTTCAAGGCCTAGCTGAACTACATAGTGAGACCATGTCTTGAAACCAAACCAAACCAAACCAAAACACAATTTTCCACACCAAAGAAAGTTTAGATGATGAAATAACAACAAAAAAAGATGGCTAATGGGCCAGGGATTTAGCTCAGTGGTTCCGCCGCCTGCCTTCCAAGTGGAAGGTCCCAAGTTCAATCCCTGGTAGCAAAAAAAAACCAAACAAAAATGATAGTTAATTACTGAGACCCAGCAGAGCCATCTTAAAACTCTGAGGAGGAATACAGAGATGGAAACTGTGCTTGGAAGACAGAGGCAGGAAAACAACATGTGAATAACTGGGAATTTGGAAGGAGAAAAAGGAACAACACATGGAAGGCTAAAGAAAACAAATACCTGAAACATTTCCCTTAGCTGCCAGAAGAGTTATCTGGATATTGAAAGTCAGAAGATACGTATCTAGTCACATTCTGATAAAATTCCTAAACTCTAAAGATGAAAAGAAAAATCATATATACTTTTAAGAAGAAGCAACTTATGAAAGAAAAAGAGATCAGCTTTGCACTCATTTCCAACAATAGATGCTAAAAGACAGTGGAACAGCACCTACTGACTGTAAATACAGGATTACGGCCCCCAAACCTTATATCCAGCTAAGATGTTCTCCTTCAAGGTGGAAGAACAACATGCAAAGATTTAGAGGAGGCATCACCCATATAACCTACCAGAGGAAGATACTTGAGAAAGGAATCTGTTCAAACAGAGATCTAAGATGGGAAGATGAATGAAAAGGGCAACAATGATAATTTTTTTCTTTTAGCCTCGAAAACTTTCTTTATATAAAATGTTTAAGTGGAAGCCCAATACATAAAATACACAAAGTCAGGTTTCTTGTTAAGGCTGGGGTGAAGGCAATGGCCTGGGGTCTGCATTTCTTATTCACCTTAGGAATTTCATAATGATAATTTGGGACCCCTGAGTGGTAGATCACAAACTAAGCCCTCAGACTATACAACAAAAACTGTTAACTGAAATAGGAACACAGCATTCCACAACTGAACTCATCTGCTTTTTCTACTGTATTTCCTTTGTGATTTATGGTCCTTACTTAAAATAGAAACCTTAGAACTTTTGTCTTCTTTCACGTCCCTTTAATCCTACCATTTCCTATATTTCATCAATTCTCCTTCAACACCTTTTAAATCCACTGATAATGATAATCATGTATTCCATGTTGGGTCAACTGCAACAGTTTTCTCTCTGGCCCCTTGTCTTATATGTCTGCCCTTCTAGAATTCACATTTCACATTGAAACCTAAGTAATCTTTCTAAAACAAAGTCTAGTCATTATTCTCTATGTTTAAAATTCTACAACTGCTCTCCACACCCCATGTAAAGCACAAACACCTTTTTACCAATGCTTACAGGGCCCTTTACCTTTGGCCTATGCCCATCTCTTGCTAACCCTACTGTTCTAGTTTTACCACTGAACTCTAAACTGCAACCATATAAAATTATAAAACTTGAAACTTTCTAAACAAATGATGCTAGTTCACATCTGTTTCCTTTCTCTTACCATGGTGCACAAATCTATTACAGTATATTATTAGTATATTACATATATTATTAGTATGTATTGTGTGTCTTAGAACTCTTTGAGTGTAGGGGCAATCCTACACCCAGAAGCATGAAGAACACCTGGCACCTGATAAGAACTCAAGAACATCTGTACAGATTCTGCTTTCAAGTAGGATATTACTATATCCTACTTGAAGCAGGTCAACACTCTGATGACCAGAAAAAGCCAAATAATTTACAAAAAAACTTTACTGAAAGCATCTAATACTTATGGAAGCAACATGGGCTAGCTGGACCAATAGTCTGGGGGAGGGGGGAGAATATCCAGAGTGAGTCAACAGTCAATAGGTGTACACCCCTCCCCCTTGGTACATTTGCTGATTCTGGACATGGGCTCCTGATCAGGGAATGGCCGTCAATGGGGAAAGAGAAACCACAATGGTCACAAGGGACTGGACAGACAAAAATGTAGTTGGTGGGTCTCAAAATACAAAACTTCTGGAGAAGGCTGTAGTTTGGGACAGAGATATCAGTATATGTTTGGTGTTCTGCAAAGCTGAAGTGACAAAACTGGAGTTCTGAGGGACTTAAAATGTGGTTGATGCTTCCTCAAGACGTTTAGTAAATTTTGGAGCTATGTGAAATCGTAGGCTCAAGAACTGAGCTGAATACCTTGGAAGGGCAGAATTGACTCTCCAGTCTTTCAATTCCAGGTAAATAAAAAGCCCATGAGGCTCTTAAGTGAAAGCATTGGAGGATTACAGTCTAACAAGGATGAACCAGTATAGGTGTGAGCCTTCCTAGGACTGACAGCAGTGAACCAGAGCAATCCCTGATGAAAATGAAGCAATCAGCTTCCCAATCTGTTAACCTAGCAGAAGCAAGGTGTAAGGTATAAGCAAAGGTTATCTCTCTGGTGTTAAGATAACATATAGAACCACTACGATATTTTTATATAATACCTTGTACATAATAATAAGGTTTTGAACATGAAAAGAGTCAAAACCTCATAAATGAAGGGCTGGGGATTTAGCTCAGTGGCACCGTACCTGCCTTGCAAGTGCAAGGTCCTGAGTTTGATCCCCAGTACCAGAAAACAAAAAACCACATGATAATCAGAAGGAAAAATAAAGGATAATAAAAGCAGACCCACAGACAATCAAATATTAGAGTTAACAGTCAAGTCTTCAAAAATAAATGAGATTAATATTGTCAAAAAACAGAGGAAAATTATTTTTCTTTTAAAGTAACTTCTACCCTGAGATGTTATGCATTCTGTCTTCATTTTAACAGGTGATTTGAGGATATTACAGTTAAACTAGAGAATTTCAAGAATTCAAGGTGTTCTGTTTAACATGAGTTAAACTGAACTCATTTAGTTACACTTAAAAGTTGATTACACAGTTATTGAATCCCAAGATTATAGTTTCTTTTATTTCTAGGTAGATTTTTACTTTTAAATATGTTCAATCAAAAACTTTTTGGTGGCATAAATTGTGACTCTGTTTTGTGAC